CCTGATAATTAAGATTAACACCGTTAAACGACAAAAATTTTTTGGCCACTGAATAATAAATAATTTATTTCAGAGGTCACTTTGATTAACTCCGTACTCTAATGTAAATCGTTGCAATAATGCAACTCGAACGCACTAGCAAGCCACGAATGATAACGGTGAATTTTTTAGCGCCGTCTTATCAGAATTTACGTAAAATTTAGTAAAATTTAAATTTATTACTTTCTTCACTTGCCAAATCGATTAACTCTTCCAGTAACATAAAAATAGTAACATCACCAACGATTACCTTTTGGCTATTTTTTCTTATAAATTTTATATACCGTCGGATGAAAGTTGCATTTGTATTTATGCATTCTGCGATATTTATTTCGATTTAAATTATAAAGGGAATTTTGAAAAACAATATACGTTATTTCATTGCATTTCTCCACTTTTTGTTTTATGGAGTTAATCAATTTGTGCAGTGAACGGTATCGTGTTCAACAGTATTTGATTCGTTAATTATTTTTCTAGATGTCGTTCCTGCATGTGCGATTACCGATCTCGTTGAGGAAAGTGTGGAACGTACCGCAGCTTTTGTTTCGATAATTTCCTATCGATATTGAGGTTATGTTTACCGCGTTGTGTTTATAAACACAGTCTGCGATGTGGAACGTTATGAGGCATGTCAGGGACGTATCAAGGAACCTTTTTGAGGAAATATATAGAGTGCTTCCCCCACTTTATCTTCATCACCTTGATACAAAGTCAGTTTTTACGTGTTTTTCAGAAAGTGCATAGTATTAGTGGAAGTATGTAACGACGGTGAGTGGTGTTAGTCTTTTTTCACGCTATTCCTGTCTCTTACAATTAACAATGGTGGGAAACTATAGCCCGTAACAGACTCGTTTTGTAAACAGGACTAGCTTATATAACGAAGTCCATAGTAATTATTTGCAAGCTACAAAAAATAAAATTAATTACCATACACGTGATTAAATAGCATATATAACATACTGTTTTTAATTAATCTGTTGTAGGATCTGCATTCGTGTCAAAAACACATTGCCACAGAACACTGTTAAGCGTATGAGAAACGCAGTCAGATGAAGGATATTTAACCAGAAAACTAAAATAAGTAAATGACACGAGTTTACCTTGAGTCTGACATTTTGCGATTCTACGATCGATTCGTCAGAACTTACGTAAATCAGGTCTCATTCGAGCAGCACGGTTTCATTCGGAGGTCATTTCACATTTCATTTGGCGGAAGATTCCTTGGTCCTCGAAAATTACACGGAACCTTTATTCGATAAGTTTTTCACATTTCATTTCACGCAAGATTCATCGGTCCTCGTAAAGTTACTTCCGCGGAACCTTCCATCCGATATTTCTCCTCCTCGCGTTTTATTCGTCGCCGAGCTGTTGTCAAGTTCCGTGAAACTTACGCAATACAACCGTTCGATAATTATGTTGCATCTCGGGGCGAGTTCCGCTTATCTTTCCCAGGGTAATCAAACGAGTCGTCGTGCGACCTTTCGCGTGTACCGGGCATTTCAAAATAAATGCGAAAATAATTTCACGTCGACTTCGTGGACGTTGCTTATGCCAACGCGGCATGGTAACAATAGAATTGCCGAAATACTTTTGCTAATTCTTCCCACGGTGTACATGGCGTTTCAAAATAAACGCGAAAACCGATTCTACGTCAATTCCATCGACGCTGTACGATCCCAACGCGATAAAAGCGGAATTGCCGGAATTGTTTCATCGGAATCTCCTCTAACGTACAGGACGCTTCAAAATGAATGTGAAAATAATTCAACGCGGAATTTTATTAATGCGATATATTTTATTATAACGCGACAAACGTATAATTGCTAGAATCGTTTTATCGATACGATTTGTAATGCACAGGACGTTTCAAAATGAGTGCGAACATAATAATACTCGGAATTTTGTCTCAGGATCTGTACTATGGGTCCTCTCCTGTCGGGCTGACATTCGATAGAGACACGCCTAGATGTTGGATAGTCTTTGATATTATTTGGACGAGGATGGTCCTAACCTAAGTATTAACCTTTTCGCTTTGGCAGTTCAGTCCGCGGAAGTACCGTCACTGAAATGAAGCTCGCGCCAGAAATATGCACAATGTGTGTGGTTTCTGTATATTTCTGTACGTTTTCCTAAGTCTTAAATAACAACTGTGAGGAATAAAACAATCGTATACAGATTCCACTTGTATACGCATCGTTTGGGTGCCGGATACATGGGGTGCCTGTACCCAGGAGTCATCGCGTGGACGCCACCTATATGCGGCGCTCGTACTCACAAGTCATCTCGTAGATGGCGCCTATAAGCGGCGCTCGAAGCGAAAGGGTTAACCCTTTGCACTCGACGATTTTTTGGTTAGAGGAACTTAGAAATTCAAAGATTCTCTGCTAAAAAACTGACGATACTTTTTTGAGCAGTAAGTAAAGAATTGTAGAATTATTTGATTTCGATACCTTGCACACTGTTACGTTACATTAAATTTGATATATTAATTAATATCGATCTTCCAAATTTTATGACACGGCGACTGAAGATCACCTCTCGAGTGCAAAGGGTTAATATCTGTAAGTCGGGTCGGACTGTTTGCCCTGTGTTCTTCGACATTTCGTTAATATTTCGTTAATATTGTTCAAGGAGTAAGGCTTCTTCATTGGTCGCTGACATATCAGCACAACGAACTAGTGGAAGCACAGACAAAGACGATAAACTGCAAGATCCATTCTCGTGGTATCTACGTGAACCTTGAGAGGTGAGTGTAAATTGTAGTGAGAGAAGTTACAAAAACAATGTGCAGTGTGTACAGTATCTCTTATCTTTTGAAGCGACCTGTACAACTATGCACAGCCAAAATCGCGAGATTACCTTTCACAATCGATCGAGCCTTCTTCTTGCGAGATCTTCAGCTTGTCGGTCTTCGAAATCGCGGATGTCTGCCACTTTCAATGAAAGAACCTGTACACTTGGATACGAAACTTGCCAACTTCCAAAACTAGCTTTCCGAACGAGATAGCTGTTGAATCTTCAAATTAATGCCCACGTTTTCTGACACAGCTTATACAAACTGCGCTTCTGACGTTTTCACTATTGACAAACTTCCCTAGGAACGTGTTCCTCCAATTTTAATACCCCGCAACACCAGAGAGTACAGTCTGGTGTTCACGAGCAAAATAACTTGTATAAATACCTTGATTATTCTGAAACAGTTTCGACAACGATGATTAGAGGATGATAATAAATATTCGGCTTTCCTTCGTCGCGTCATATTTTTATGGGGACCAAGAGTGCACCCCGTTAATAACCACGGGAACTTGTATCGCGATAGATTGTTCTTTTTGGATATTTTTCTATCCTCGTTTCATAATCTCTGGGTTCTTGTGCTCCACGACCTGCTTCAACGTCGGATTCTTCTTATTCTTCTACTTTTGTCATTTTATTACGTGTTAGGACACTTAGTCAGCCATTTTTGTCATTTTCCAGATACTCACCGACTAAAATAGAGGGCTTCCCACGATGATTCTGATAGGTGAGAGTAACTTGTGGTTGTGGAATTCGATTATTTTGCTCTGTAAGTATCCTGACCTGACTCTAATGTTTATTCCAAGATAAATTCTGTCGAATTGCTTTGGGGCGATTATGAGTATTTTCCTAGAATATTTTCCGCTGCTTAATGCATACGGTTTCCCATCTGGAGGCTGTATCATCAGAGACTTTGACCCTGTTTCGCGTAACCTTGATCGGTAATTCCATATAGATTTCGGCGGTCGATAGATAAGTCCAAATTTAAATTCCTGCATACAAAACATTAATACTAGCATAGATTCTAATCCACGGAATTATCGCAATCTCAGTGTTATTAGGTTATGTAAACAGCCAGTAAACGATAAGGATATCGATATTTGGAGATATACGATACAAATTCTTGCATAATTCACTTATAACCTATTAAATCGTGAGAACCCTAGGTCTCTATCAAATATCAACCACACCAGATGTCCTAAAAATATAACAACTAAACGAAACGCAATAAAAGCAAGATGGCGGGGTGAGAGGTGAATTGCTGGAAAACGTAATACCAATTTAATTGAAGTTCTCAAAGACCAACTCGATTAATCGCAGTTACATCGCGTCGGATCGCTATAGGCCGAAGTATTATTCGAAACACAGTCTATATAAAACGTATTCGGCACGTGACGCGTGCAATAATGGAGGAAGCTTCTTTGCAGAACGCTCGCAAGACTCGTGACGTGGAAAGGGTTAATCCACGGCGCGGTTGTTCCTTTTCAGGAAGCGTTTAACGCCGTCGGATCGTTATTACGTTTAATTGGACGTGAATTGGCATGGCCAGGGTTATGGAAGCTAAAAAAGGGCCTCGCGAGCTTTCACACGGTTTTCCTTTTGCAAAGTTTACTGCCCGCTCTTTAAATATGTGCAGCCGACTTAAACACGCCTCCGTAAAGACCGGCACGCCTCAAGAGTCCGCTCAAGTACTACTTTTCTACTTCTAATCTGCAAGTAAGTTGACGCCTTTGTGGCGACACGGTTATTATAATACATCCGCGTTTGAATGCAACGGTGTACAGGCCTGACCGCTAGCATACGGACGCGCTGCTAATAGCGTGCTCTGGCGGCCCGCGAAGAAACTACGACTCCGATGGCTACCAGGAAACGTAATGCGCCAATTCGCACCTAAACTTCTTCCACTTTAGCTACAGATTTAATCGTTTCCGATCGAATGTCGAGTTCCCTCCGTGAAAGTTCCAGTGGAAATTATAAATGTATAAATCTATTCCGTTGATATCGGAATTTGGAGGTTAGTGTCAAAACAGATTTCAACGCGGAATTTTATCAGTGAGATATATTTTATTATAACACGCCAAACATATAATTGCTAGAATTGTTTTGTCTGTATGATTTCTCATGTACAGGACGTTTCAAAATGTGTATGAAAATAATACTACGTGGAATTTTATCAATGCGATATATTTCGTCGTAACAGAATAGAAATAGAATTGCGAGAATTTTCTTGTTAATATTTATTGCAGTGTACAGGGCGTTTCGAAACAAAGATGGCAGCCAGCGTTGTATCGCAATAAAGGTATAATTAGCAGATTATAACGAGAAAAAAGCATACTAGAGGCTACGCGAAAGCAAGGAAAATTGAAGCGACTATACCGAACTCGACGAGGATTGGCAGGAAATATAAACGGAAAGTTCACGTGATCGACGCTGCGGCCACAGAGAAATGGCTGCTCAGGGACGCGTTTTAGCGGTCCCTGAGAAGGGCTCCCGGATGATGCATATGCATTCACACTGTGCAGGGATCTGGATATTACGTATTGGCCCTGTTCTGATCACGCGTTGCTCGCGTGCGTTTTATTCCTCGCAAATCTTTCATCAATTTTGTAAAACGCGACACGTGCCTTTCACGTTTACATGACCGGCGGGACATCTCACGGGCACCGAAATGAAGTTTCTGTTCAGCAAATCAAAGTCTTCGGTGGTTGTCTCCGTGTCCATGGTAGTCGTGGTACTCATGGTAGTCGTAGTGCTCGTGGTAGTTTCATGAGTCCACGGTGGATCGAAGATGTGCAATCTCTTTCTCAAGGCCATTTCGTCGAATTTTTCTTTCACGTTCGTCAACGTTTCCTTGATCTTGTTCAAGAGATAAGGCTCCGTAGTTGTGTGCTGTCCCTGGCAGTGACATGTCAGTACGACGAGCACGAGCAAGCACAGATAAAGACGACAAACTGCAAGCTTCATTCTCGTGGTATCTACGTGAACCTTGAGGTGAGAGTAAATTGTCGTGAGACAGGTTACAAAAACAATGTGCAGTGTGTACAATATTTCTTATCTTTTGAAGCGACCTGTACAACTATGCGCAGCCAAAATCGCGAGATTACCTTCTGCAATCGATCGAGCCTTCTTCTTGCGAGATCTTCAACTGCCGGCCACTTTCAATGGAGCAGCCTGTACACTGGAATACGAGACTCGCGAACTTCCAAAACTAGCTACTCATACGAGATAGCTGTTGAATCTTCAAATTAATGCACACGTTTTCTGAAACAGCTTATACAAACTGTGCTCCAGATGTTTTCACTATTGACAAACTTCCCTACAAACGTGTCCCTCCACTTTTAATACCCCTGTACACCAGGGGATACACACCAAGTTTTACTACCACAGTTCGCGAAACTGCTTGAATTATAATGGACGAAACGAGAACCTCGCAGAGCAAGATCTCGGTGGTCACTGTTCCAGTCACTTTCGCGAAATCCGACGTATCCTCCTCGCGGAATTGCCAACACGTGACGAAGGCCTTCGTTGCAATTATATCGTAGTCAGTATGGAATCGTTAGCGAGCAATTATTCGACGATTTGTTACCAACACACCGGACTCTGTCCAGCACGTCCACACCAAGGACGACGACTCGCTATCTCACACCCGACCCCCACGAGACTATGGGACCCGCACCTCCATAACTTCTCAGCGTCACGAAATGAAGTCACGCCGTGGAACGGAACGCAGTCTGACGTTCACGGGCAGAGTAACACGTATAAATACCGCGATTACTGTGAGACAGTCGCGATAACGATGATCCGAGGATGGCAATAAATATCTGGCTTTCGTTCGTCCCACCATATCATGTTTATGGGGGTCAAGAGTGCACTCCGTTATCTGCCGCGAGAACTTGTATCGAGGAAAATTGTTTCTCTGGCTATCTCTCTGTCCTCGTTTCCCAAGACATCGGTTCTTGTGTCCCACGACCTGCTTCGTCATCGGATTCTCCTTATATCTTTGGCGATCATTTTATCCGCCATTTTTGTCATTTTCCAGTTACTCGTTGCATAAAATGGAGCATTTCCGATGATATTTCTGTTGGATGAGAGTAAATTATGGTTGTGAGATTCGATTATCGCGACCTGTAAGTATCCTAACCTAACTTTAATACTTATCCTACGATAAATTCTGTTGAATTCTTCAGGAGCAATTGAGAATATTTTCCTTGTGATGTTTAACGTACACGGTTTCCTATCTGGAGACTGTGTGTAATCAATGACTTTGACCCTGTTTCGCGGGACCTTGATCGATAATTCTATACAGATTTCATCACTGTTACTCGGTCGATAGATAAGTCCAAATCTAAATTCTCGGATACGAAACATTAATTCCGAGCATGAATTCTAATCTATGGTATTATCGCAATTTCGCTTTTATTAGGTTATGTAAACAACCAATAATCGATAACTATATTAATGTTTAGAGATATACGAAACAAAATCATGCACAATTCATTTATAACCTATTAAATCGTGAGAACCATAGGTCTCTATCAAATATCAACCACACCAGATGTCCTAAAAATATAATAACTAAACGAAACGCAATAAAAGCAAGATGGCGGGGTGGGAGGTGAATTGCTCGACAACGCAATACCAGCTTAATTGAAGTTCCCAAAGTCCAATTCGATTAATCGCAGTTACATCGCGTCGGGTCGCTATAGGCCGAAGTATTATTCGAAACACAGTCTATATAAAACGCATTCGGCACGTGACGCGTGCAATAATGGAGGAAGCTTCTTTGCAGAACGCTCGCAACATTCGTGGCGTGGAAAGGGTTAATCCACGGCGCGGTTGTTCCTTTTCAGGAAACGTTCAACGCCGTCGGATCGTTATTACGTTTAATTGGACGTGAATTGGCATGGCCGGGGGTATGGAAGCGAGAAAAAGGGCCTCGCGAGCTTTCACACGGTTTTCCTTTCGCAAAGTTTACTGCCCGCTCTTTAAATATGTGCAGCCGACTTAAACACGCCTCCGTAAAGACCGGCACGCCTCAAGAGTCCGCTCAAGTACTACTTTTCTACTTCTAATCTGCAAGTAAGTTGACGCCTTTGTGGCGACACGGTTATTATAATACACCCGTCTGTGAGTGCAACGGTGCACAGGCCTGACCGCTTGTACACGGAGGCGCTGCTAATAGCGTGCTCTGGCGGCCCGTGAAAAAACCACGACTCCGATGGTTACGGGAAAAATTAATGCGCGAATTCGCGCCTAAACTTCTTCCATTTTAGCTACTGCTTTAATCTTTTCCGGTCGAATATCGGGTTCCCTCCGTGCAAGTTCCGACGGAAATTGTAAATCTTTAAATTTATTCCGTCGATATCGGAATTTGGGGTTAGTGTCAAAGCAGATTTCGATTATATCGGTAATTATGAAAGTGGGCCGAGCCACGTATATCTAATAATAAGTCCGGCTTATTAAAATTTTTGCTCTTCGGATATAGTAGAACGTCGATTATGCGGATTTTTATTTCAACGTAGTCACGTATTTATCGTGTGTGTCTATATTAAAATTTTATAATTATTCTCGAATTGGAAAAGTTTACGCGTAATATACTCGATTTGGAAAACTATCGTGATAGTCGCGAATGGATGTGGATGAATATAATTCGAGATACGAAAATACAAGTGATAATGTTTCCATGCTTGATACAGATGATGTAATAATTGAGGTTATGTCATCACGTATCGAAGTGGAACTGCATTTTGTCAAAAATAATTTTACTTTATCGCGATGTAAACAAGTAAAACAAGAAATAAATAACTAAATTGTTTCTTTTCGGTTTTTAATTTAGATTAATTTTGTAATTATCGTTAACCTGCTTGATATTCGGTGCCAGGAAGTCGATAATCGTAGAGAACGATTGATGCCAAAGACTGGTCGATTAATACGTTTTGCATAATTAATTGGCAAAGATTAGAACTGTTCTTAAGTTGTTAACGTTACTTGTTTTTCATTTTAATTACCGACGATTTAATTATTTAATTACTTCGACGAATCTGTTGAAGACCGATTGTTTTCAAGTGACTAGCTGCCGATACCACCACTCGGCAGATAAATATATATCGCGAATATATTTTCTAAATATAACGAGAAAGTTTTTAACAAAAAGTCGGACCTATGAACCGGCTATTCAGACCTCAGTGATTTTCCGTTAATATTAAATGAGTAAGAACACGTTTCAGTGGAAGTTTTTAATAAAAGTACATTCTGCTGGGAAATTTTCTCCTCTTTATTTTCTTTTTTTTTCCTCCTCGAAGCTCGATTAAACGCGCGCACCGAATTACCTTGAAAACAAGTTGCTCCGTGCAAATTCGCGCGATTTCGCAGTTAAATCGCTAAACGAAATAAAGACGCGATTTATTTGACTTCGTTTCCCGGAAAATGTAAGCATTAATCGTGATATTTACCCTATCTATGCGTTTTTCTCAGATATCTCTAACCCCTTACCGATCACGATTTTAATTCATAATACTAATAAACATGCATAGCATCAACGCAAATTTTTTATTGACATGGCAAATTAATTTAACAATTTAAATGTAAAATATTTTTTACATACTAATCGTCGAATAGCATCATTCTATAAATTCATATTTTTAATGATTTTATTAAAAAAGATATTGATCTCGATTAATAAAAATATGTCTCATTTTTCAATTTCTAGTGGAAAATAGAGATTCCTTTTCTAGGTTAATTCGCAAGTGAATCGTGTAATGTGAGGTTACGTATATTACGTATATTTCCTAGCTTCGCCATTTTGTTTTTCTAAATCCGTATTTGGATATAGTATTACAAGAATGAAAATATATACAAGCATATAGTTTAAAAACGAAAAAGTTTTCGTACCAACGATAGTAATTCAAAGTCTACTTGCCTCGTTTATACGAATGCAATTAAGCAAATCGTCTGACAAAACGTTTCCCCGTTTCCTACGCGATATTAATATTAATCTTCCACGCTCGAATCGTCCACTGTGCTGAAACGAGCTGTGCTCAAGGTAGCGTATCAAACGAGTCCATTCCTCGCGCGAGAAATACCTACTCTACTCCTTCACTATATTCATCGTAATTACCAAAATGACGCGAGACGTTTCATCCTTAGTTACTCGAACCAGTGTCCCAAACGTTGTAAACGTAAATGCTTAAAAACGCCAAACGGTGAAAAATTTGGATTTTGGGATTTTCTGTTTCGCGACCGTGCCACCAGAGGGTGCACAGTCGAAAGAATGGCGTTGGGAACAAAAATGTACTAAGAAATACCTAATTTAATGCGTCACTATATTTACTATAATTACCAAAACGGTGCAAAACGTTTGGTTTTTGATTACTCGAATCTCGATGTTCCCAATGGTGTACATGTAAAAGTATAAAGACACCAAATGGTGGAAAATTTTAATTTCGCGGCAGAGCCACCAGAGGGTGCAGGATGAAAAGTATGGCGTTGCGAAGAAAACGCATCGGCACGCTCGAAGTGCTCCATAGAGGGGTAAGAAATATTTTTCCAAAGGATTTCGTCCGCTGTAGAAGTTGGCGCATTATTTCTCGGCTTTCTGCCGGCACGAAGAAAGTAGAAAGACGAAATGGGAGCGAGAGAGAGGGAGCGACGCAGAAAGGGGATTTTATCCCGGACTCAGTCATGTGCAACAAAGAGGTATTGATATGGACCGTGCTTGTGAAACGGGCCAATAGCTGTGGCCGCCATTGTCACCCGCGGCCAGATCTATACCGAAGATATCTGCTGTATTCTTCCAACTACAAATTCCCCTGGTCAATTTTTTCTCTTCGATATCGCTGCAACGTATCTTTGCACTTCCCGGCAGCCAGCCTTGGCAATACGTCGATTCCAACGGTGGAACATTAAACGCACATAAAGGCCACCGGGAACAAAGAACCTCTGCTCGATTTCTTATTACGAAAATTCACTCGATCGCTTTGTTACCCGGCTACCGTTTACGTTTCGATACGTAAGTATACGAAAAGAAAAAGAAATACAAATAAGATCAAAGAGAACTTTGAAAATTTATAGATAGGAAATGTCTTAAACTTGTGGCGGTATCATTTTCATCTTCGCTAGATTTTCTTGCAAGAACTCGGTAAACCTTCCGCTTCCTATACATACAACTTCTCGACATTTCAATATCCTTGTTTAAGGCAGGGCCTGTTAGATGGCTTTATTCATGAGTCTACTAGCAGGCCCAGGAAGGGAAACGCATCTATTCCATTTTCTTTTGCTCCCTTCCAGTACAGCCACAATACTGAGGATAACTGCCGCACTGTAACAATAGTAATTGTTTGGGGAGGAAACCTACAAATTTATTACTGTCTTATATATAATTTCTTACAACTCATATGATAAATTTTCATTATACATGTCATATGTATTTTAAAATGTTTTCATTTCCTCTATATTTTTTACTAAAATAAGGTATTGTTCGAAAAGTATGTACGTTGAAAGATTTATTTCTACCCTAAAAGTTAAGTTACAGTTTATTTTTTAACTACCCTTCCTTAGAAAAATTTGAGTTCTTCTAAAAACATACGAGTTTCGTCTAAAATGGAGTGTTGCGTAAAAAGTAAGAACGTCCGAAGGTTCATTATTGTGTTACAAGTTAGGTGCGAGTATTCCGAGCTTATCAGTGTCCATAATAATAATTGCAGCGACCCATAGGAGTTCAACCGGGTAGATCTCCCACCTCTTCCTTAG